CTCACCATTTTGTTGTTGATCTTTATTGTAGGTAGCTTCTCTGAAGGGTTGTGATAAAAAATAATAAATTTTGATTCTTCCGGATTGAGTCTCAATCGCCATCTATTGAACCAGAGCGTTGTCCTGTCGACAAGGCTTTGCAGTTCCACTATTATGAGTGTTAGCGTGCCGTTGTGTGAAACTAAGGCAGTGTCATCTGCATACTGTAAGATGTTGAGGTTTCTATTAAATGCATTCTTGTCTTCCAAATTGTGATTGTATATATCATGGCAGTATATATTATAGAGAAGTGAAGATAACGGAGAGCCTTGTCGAACTCCTTGTTGGGGAGCAAATTTCTCGGAGAATGAATTTCTGACTCTGACGGTTAGGGTTCTGTTCTCAAAATATTTTTTCATTACATTTCTTCATACCAAACGCTATCAAAAGCTTTGATATCCAAAAATAGAGCTGCCGAATGTAAGTTGATCATGCGACTGTTTGTACGTTAGATGTTACAATTACTATAGGTTGGGTTGTATTTCTTTTTTCTCTAAAACCAAATTGATACATTGGTACACTGATATGTTCACTGAGTTGCTATTTGATGATTTCCTCGAAGTTTTTCCTTAACACTGGCAGAAGAGTAATGGGTCTGTAGTTGCAGGTCTGTGAATGGTCTGTATTGAGCTTTGGAATTGCAATTATCAATCCTTCTTGCCAGGCTGTGGGATAGTAATGATTGTTCAAGCAATATTCATAGATGGAGGTGATATGTTTGTGTATGTCTGGTTCTTGGGCTCTTACATTCCTCCTAAATATATTGTCTACTTCTGGGGGTGTATTTTTTCCCTCACTGATGATGTTGTAATATAAATTTTCATCTATTTCTTGGTCATTTTGCATTGGGATGTTTTTGAAAAAGTTTCTACACCAAAGATTGACAGACTCATATTGATTTTGGTCGAAATAAACATAATTTTTTTTTTTGGAAAACATTCTCAAAGTAAGTTTTTTTTTATTAAAAATATAACAACAATATACAGTTCAATACACTATAAATATAAAATATGTTGTTATGCTCCCTAATCAGCAAAAATGCTGGTCTTGGGATTCACAAACGTTCAATATGACAAGTGAAACACAATAGTATATTGTGTAACAAGTGCGTGAAATCGACTTTTTTACACAAGCGTGGAATTTGCGACACGAGCCCTCAGGCGAGTGTCGCAAACAACGCGAGTGTAAAAAAGTCTTCACGCACATGTTGCACACTATACTTTTTCTACGACCATACAGAGAAAATTAAGCACCATTAGTTTAAAGAGCTTTATTGAATTTCAGAATAATTAGTAAGTACCTATATTATAAAATTAACAATTAATTCTTATACTGAGATTATTATTTTTGGTTTTCATTCTGATGTGGAATAATAATGATTATTAATAGTAATATTGGAACCTGTGACCATTCCAAAACTTACACCTGCAGCATTTGATTTTTCTATTAGTGTGTTTCTTGACTTGGAAGTTGAGATGATAGAAGTAGTGGCGATAGGGGCTGAGGAAATTTGATTTTGAGGCGATAAAATTTTATTTGCCACATCAATTTTCTGAGTAATTGAGTTTTCTATATAATGCTCTGCCACTGCAGAGGATTTCCAACCTCCATGTTTTTTTAAGGTAAGCAAATCGCCTCCAGCTTCTACTAATAACGTGGCGGATGACCGCCTAAAACAGTGGCCTGTATATTGTTCAGCATGAGGTAAATTTAGGTATTTTGCGATTACCGAAGGAACTTTACCAATTTTATTTATACCAACGATCTGGCAGGTACATTTTCCACCTTGATAATTAATAAATAATTTTTTTTCTGCGTATTTTTGCGGACGGAGTGCCGTATATTTTCGGTATAATTCAAGATGTTCCGNCAGCAAAAATGCTGGTCTCGTGATTCACAAACGTTCAATATGACAAGTGAAACACAAAAACTAGTAAGCCACTACAAAGCTCATAGTAGTAACGCATCAGACGTGTGCCTCGAGGTTCAGATGTTCTTTTAAACTATTGATGAATGAACCAAAGCCCGGCAACTTACATATATGGACAGGTAATTCATTGAAGACTTTCACAGCCTGTGTAAAAGGATTGTATAATCCTTTATTCGTTCTTACCATGCTCAGGTGTAAGTTGAGAATGTATTTGCCGTATCTTCATCTGTTGATATTATGCGACCATTAACTTGCAGATTATTGATGTTATTTATATAATTATTGAATAACTGTAATCAAATACTCTTTTTGATGAAATTTCACATTTTATATATTTCCTCAGTGTTACGAAATGCACTCAATATTTTTTTGTAAAGTAATTTATGTTTTTCTTCTCAGAAATAGCCAAGAATTGAATGACGAACAAAAAAAATGGATCGCAAATAATACTGAAACAGTGTATAACTTATTGAGAGAAACGCCACCAGACGGACAGGAATTTGCACAAATTGTGAAGAACGTTTTGTCGAGAGAAGAACTGTGGAATGGTTGGAAGAATGAGAGTTGTCCAGGTAATGAAAATAAATAGATAAGTTTATTTCATCACATCAACTACAAAATATACAATAATGACATGTCAAACTGAGAAATACGAAAAACAATAGTTGCAGTCAATACACACTAATTACATCTGAAATAGTTATTCCTAAAATTTATAAACAAAAACTAACATATTAAAAGATAATTGTCTCACAATTCAAATAACCAAATTTATAGCCTCAGTGCACCGCACTGTAAGGGTCGATCTAGTAAAAGTTCATTTACCTAAATAAAGTTATGATATTCGACAATAATGCTGATTAACGATATTAGACTTCAACCCAAAATCGGGAACAAGAATGTGTGGGTATTGATTTTTTTCGGATTCCACCTTCTAGAGAAAACACATCCATCACACCTGAAAATGTACCTTCGGTAAGTGAATTTATATTTTGTGCCCATCAAAGTAGTCCTCTCAGATATAATACAGCATTTTCTCCAATCCTCGAAACAGTTTGATGGGTCTCTTAAATCTTGCAAACAGGAAAAAGTCGCAGGTGGCAAATCTGGTGAATATGATGGTTGAGGTACAATTAGTTGTGTTGTTCCCATTTATTGAATTCAGTTTACAATGAGGAAGTTGTTAGTTAGGATAGATCTTGAAGGAATGTTAAATGAGATCTACAGTTTGAAAAGTTGTTCCTAGAAACGTACATATTGTAGGTAATGGATTTATCATGTAGAAATTTGTCAGGTGGTAATGGCCATTAGGATTCAAATAACTTTCAAAGCATGACACAGAATTTGTTTAGTCAGTATTATGACGCCTGAAGATGGTATTGTATAACGAAACACGCATCGCGGTTTTGTAAACTATCAAACTAAATCCCACATTGAAGCTTTTTTTTTGGAATATATCATTCTAGTATCTAACCGTTTTCAATGATTTATTTTATCTGAATTGAAGGGGTTATATTTTTTGGAGTGAATAATTTTTGGGAAAGAAAGTTTTTGGCTTTCTACTACTCCATCTTGATANTAATGTAGATCTCATGTCTATTCGGCAACAATGTCTGTAGTAAATGATGATTTTGAAGATTTTATTTTATTTTTTCAATAAAACAATATTTTACAGATCCATACACAATATTTGAATTATTTATTTTAAAACTGTAAGCCATTGATAGAATTTGCTGTCAACGGTAACTGTCTGTTCCACATAAAGTAAGTGCTTTCGGAAGTTTTTGATAGAGCTTATATCAAAGAGTCATTTTTCTGTTTCTCCATTAACAAACTGTCGATCCCTTACGAAAGACGACCCTCAAAAGTTGAAAATTGTGCGAACTAGGGATTAACGAGGTCTTACCTGTTAACGTGTAAGTCCTACGTGGGGTCTGTACATGAATAACGTATTTATCCACAATTTTACTGAGTTGGAAGATTCAATTATGCATTAGAAACACTTTTTTGGCACATTTCGTTGAAATTATTCTACTTATGGTCATCTATGAGGTTAAGTCCTGAATATTTAACTGAAGTTACTCGTTTCAAAGACCGGTTTGTTGATTTCAAAAGTAAATTATGGCCATAACCTTCTAGGGCACAACTATTACAAAAAAAAGCTTATGACAATACAGATTGGTTTATTTTTGGAAAACCAATCTTGTCCTTTTAATATTTCCCAGTGAGCGGAGTCAACTGTTGCATATTAATGAAAAGAAACTCGACGTATCCTTTACTTTATAGAGGGATGTGAATGAAATGGGAAAAAGAGTACTATAAATGTTGATAGAGATCATTATTACGTCTAAGGAGGAGATTACATCAGCCTTTGATACTTTTTAAAGTGCTGAGTTTCTCATACATAGCGTCTGCTGCCTCCAGACTAGTTTCCGGCACTATATTGCCGGCTGCCGGCATAACTCGAGCACGACATGAACATGGCTTTGGCTGACCTTGACAATGACGTATATAACCAATTAAATTACCAGTGATGTAATTTTTTGAGAGATAGTGTAAACAAAAATATTCATTAATTTGTATTTTTTAGCAGTTTTAGAAAATAGTTGGTATGTTGGTAATTGTTGGCTAACTGGAAAGAAAAAATCATGAGTTTAAGCGAAATTAGTTGCGTTCAGTGGTTTGAGGGCATCGAAAAACATCGATGTGGTTATTGTAAGAAGGAAAACTCAAGTATTTCCCATGGTATGAATATAGCATCTGATAAGAAGACTTCACTTCAAGTTTTTCGGCATACACTCATTCATCACTGTTTTTACTTTAAATTAATTAATTTTCGTAGGTATATGGGCAGAGACCCTGACTGTTCAAGACTACCAGGATTTAATTGACAGAGGATGGCGTAGATCAGGAAAATATTGCTACAAACCTGTCATGGATGAAACTTGTTGTCCTCAATATACCATAAAGTAAATAAAGGGTTCATTGAATGATACTGTTGCCTCTGATCTTTAAAATTTTAGATGTGATGTTTCAAATTTCTCTCCGAGTAAATCCCAAAAGAAGGTAGTGAAGAAATTCAACAAGTTTTTGGAAGACAATAATTTGAACAAAAAGGAAACCACAGCTGAAGAACAATCAGCAGATGGATGTGGAAATTCAGAAATATTCATGAAAGATGGACCTGATATAAAAATCACCGATGTGCCATCTATAGTGGCGAACCATGTGAGGGAAGTAATAAGTTGTACTAGTGGCGTTCAAAATATAGATCGGGAGGACAGGAATAAACCTAACGAAGAGACATGTGGTGAGATTTATTCTATACTTTGTAATTGTAAAGGTGTACAATATGTAGTTTATGTTTATTTTACATATAAACAGTTCTTGTTGACAAACATATGTTATGCAAATGCTTTTAAAGCTATTTGTTAAACGCTACTAGAAGTGTCAAAATCGATAGTTTAATTTCAGAAACAGCTGTAGTCACATCTGGACTCCCTCAAGGATCTCACTCTAGGCCCTTTTCCTTTAATTTATTCATCAATGTCATTCAATCCATCTTTGACAATATCTCTTTGTCATTATTTTTAATCTTGAAGATGCTAAAACTCTCTAATCAACAATCGATTTGTCAGAACAATTTTTCGATTTTTTTGGCAGTGGTCTGCAGGTTTTTACATATTACGTTTCGTCTACTGCTGCAGTAGACATTATCCAAGGCGTTGAGGTAACTGTTGAAGTGCTCCGTTGTTGTTCCCAACCTTTTGGCACTATGCCGAAATATCTTCACAACTAAATCTTTCATCAATTGAAAAACGAAGACCCATCTTGGATCTTTTCATCCTTTTTTTACAAGCTTTTTCCAGGTAATATCAATTTTCCTGTGAAAGGAACTAAAAATGTACAACTGTTTCACACAGCTATCTCTCACACTTAATATACCTTTCATGCTCCGGTGAATCATTATTACAATAGTTTATAAGTGGATTGCTGAAAACAAAATGATGTAGCATAATACATCAATACCGCTAGTATGAATTTGTTTAATTTGTATAGATATGTTTTTAGTTTCACTTTAATTATTGTTCTTCAAAAAATTCAAATTGAAAACTGTAAAAGGGTTTTCCGTCAATAAATTAATAATAAAATATCCATATGGTATACCTTTTTCAGCACCTTCCTGATTCAAGTATAGTAGATTGTATAAAGCTGTGCTTTCTTGTCTGTTGAATTGTTTCATAACATATGTATCAAAGTTCTTCTATTACAGATATACTCGATAACGAATCTAGTCTACCTGTGAAAACAGATAAATCAAAAACTTTGGTTTCTAAAGGTCAAGGAGCTGATTTAAATAGACCCCCTTTGAAGAAAGCGAAACTTTTGAGAATGGAAAGAAAAAAAGAAAAACTATTGAAAAAGGGTTTGGCTTTGGAAAAAAACGATCCCCAAAGTAAAAAAAGCCTGGAGGATTTTCTAGAAGAAATCAGTCCCGATTCCCGGAATAAATTTCAAGTAGGACACTTTTTTTATGCTACCTTGCATGCTCAAGGTGTCAATGATAACATAACCTACATTTATTGATGTGTCAGTTCATTATTTTCAGGGGAGAAGTTTATGACCCATTCAATCTAATTCATCATTCTTCTCCAGATGCGTTTAATATCCACAAGTGAGCCTACTCCTGACTGGGAACGTGTTAAAGATGTAGAGTATGAATTGTATAAACAGTATCAAATGGGGATACACAATGATCCGCCATCAAAATTATCCTATGCTGGCTTCCGTAGATTTTTGGTGAACACTCCATTGAAGGTACATAATATGGCTATGTCTCACTTGAAAGCAAAGTAGATAAAATACCTCCTGAATCCTTTCTAATTTCAATGAACAAATTTTGTTTGAACCGGTAGCTTTATAGTGTTCGTTTCAAAAGAATCCAAAATTGCTCTTATGAAAACTTGTGAAAAATTCAAGTTTTCCTTGAACATCTGGAGACCGTACGATGTGAAAGAACATCAGAGGAAACCAAAATATTTTAGGTATTTGGAAAATATGTGGTGAATTTGATCTAAAATTATTCAAGAAAACTTGTTAATATAGAAATCCAAAATAGATAAGTTTTGAGTCATTGGTAATTTTTTATATTCAATCATTCCTTTGTAAAATATAGATTTTTTTGAAAATGCAGCCTACATATATTCGATTAGCGATTTTTATTTTTTTATGTTGGTATGCTCATATCGAATATATGTTCACAATTTCATCTGTTTAGCAGATTTAGTTTGTTGGTGAGAGGCATGAAAGTTAGAAGAAGAACAAAGAATTTGCATCAATTTTTGTGTAAAAAAAGGAATTAAGTGCTCGAAAATACTTGAAATGTTGACAGTGGTTGTACTATGAGAAATAAAAATGTTTACAAACTTGCTAATGAAAGTAAGTGTGGACATATTAAACGCATCTTGAGCATAAAATACATCTTACATGCAAGGAAAGAACCAATGTATACTTTTTAATAATCACTCAACTAGCTCAAATTTTCAGGTGAAACTTCAAAGGATGTCAAAATTTGATGATTCCTTTGCTGTGAGCGCGGATTTATTTAAAAAATATCAAATGTTCGTTCACAATGAAACCCCGGAAGAATGTGATGAGGAGCAATTTTGGACATTTCTTGTGCAGTCTCCTCTGGAGGTATTTATTACTTTGCTCTCAAGCTACTAATATTGTTAGCAAATTCCTTCCAAATACTATCTTGAGTCTACTCATAAGTTTGTTTATTTATTTATTTGGTAAAAAATAGCCAGACAATTTATGCTGGTATAAATAAGCTAGAATAGCAATACAACCAATTTTTCTCTCCAACACAACCTGAATGTATGAAAATAAATCACAGGTGACTGACAGGACATGCCGTATGACATCACATTTCATTTCGACCAATGGTGGGGCATTTTACAAATTTGAATTTCGCTTGTAAATTTTTCACTTTTTGATTTATGTTTTAAATAATTAAATACATATTAAATTAGAAAATAACGAATTGAGTGTAATACTAGGACCTTAAAAACTCAGGAAAAACAAATCAGGTCATTTTATTTTTTATACATATTCCCTATTGGTTCAAACGCATGCAAAAGTGTATAGATAGATCTTCATAGGGAATGTTTTGAAAAACAATAAAGTGATTTTCCATGATTAATATTTGTTTTTCTACTCTAATCCCGAAATATAAAAGGCAACCCTCGTATATAGGGCTACAAAAATATATGACTTTAAAACAGGCAAAACTTTTTAAACAATCTAATGAATTTTAATAAGAAAAATCAATTTGGATTCTTCAACTAGTTTTCACTCTTCCATTTCGCATAATTATGTACCTGTATATATTGAAGGCAAATTTCAGCCCGAAGAGTTTCCAAATGGTATCGAAGGTCCAGGTTACGGATCTTTTCACCAACAGTATTGGATAAACGATAAACTTGTTGCCGTTGGAGTTATAGACATTTTACCGAGATGCGTCAGTTCGGTATATTTCTTTTACGATCCCCAATACAGAAATCTTGTCCTGGGAACTTATGGGTCACTTAGGTATGTAAAAATGTATTTGTTTATTCATTTATTCACTGAATATCACTGGAGTTTTTTCCCAACAAAAAATCTTTTTTTTTAACACCTCGACACGTGTTTTGATCACCAAGTGATCATCTTCANACATACACTCCTGTCCGAAAATGCGATACAAAGGAAAGCTAACCCCTTCTTTTCTGCTCTGCCCAGAGACTTATTGTTGGATTCCGATAGAGAAATGCATAGAAAAGCTGGACGCTCAGAAGTACTCGAGATTGAACGAAGACCTCGATGCTCTAGATAGAAATATCCCTAGCAGGAAGGAAGTTCTCGATATGAAAGTGATTTACCGGCGCAAATTGATCTATTTCAGGGATTTCAAACAGTATTGCGAGGATCCAAATTTGTATCATCAAATCGGGATGTTGGTGGGTAAAACGGGTTGCAGAAACATTTTATTTTGGGAAAAGTGACTTTATTTTATTTCGTGTTATAATTTGTAAGTAATGTATATTTATGAATATTATAGCCAGGTTATTTCATTTTGTCAAGCATCACAAACTTATGCTTTCTCTGCCGCTGACTTAGAAAAGTGTGCTGTTGAGGTCTTCTGTTTTATGATGGAAGGTTGAGTTGTATGTCGATTCCGAAAATGTTTCGTGAGGGAATCGAAATCATTTGTTGTTCGAGGGTGATTCAAAACAAACACTTTTCCTAAACACTATAACTGCAATACTCTTCTCGACGCGCGTTGGCGTCTTCAGAAGATGAAGAGAACGTAATTATAACTCTAGTGGTCTCTATTTACATCTAACAGGGTACACTTATACCGATCTCAACAATTTCGGACAATTTTCCTTCATTCTATGGTCGTTCTGCAAGGCGTGTTTAGGGACAATAGATTTGTCCGATGTGTTCTTTGAAACGAATTTTAATGGCTTGCTTGGTCTGACCGATATATTTTTTTGTCACAGTCCTCACACCTCATTTCATGTATCCCCAACTTTATTTTCCTAGGGTTACCTAGCATTTGTTGATGCGAGCAAGAAGTTGAAGGCTAGCTTCACATTCAACTTTTCAAAAATACGACCTAACCCGTTAGTGTACGAGGTCTGTTCGACTTTATTTTTCTCAAAAAATATTTATTCATTCATCAATTTCTATTTTGTTCCCTTCAAAGAAGTTCCCCTCAGCTATAATAAACTTTTGCCAGCGTTTTTTCCAATCTTCGAAGCAGTTCTGAAAGTGTATGTCCCTGAGCTCTCAGCGATTCGGTTTTCATCTCCTCAATCGGTGCAAAACGCCGTTTTTTATGGATATCTTCAATATTGGGAACAGTAAAATGTCGCAGGAGGCCAAATCTGGTGAATACGTTGGCTGAGGCATAATTACAGTGTTGTTTTTTGGCAAAAAAATCACAAACAGGTAATGACGAGTGAGCAGGTGCAAAAGCCATGAATGGGCTTGCTTCGTGATTTTTGGTTTATAGTTCACTTAACAGAAATTATAAATTGAAAAACAGTGCACTTTGTTTCATCTATCTAAGTACCGTAGTTTTCCCGTAATTAATTATTAAAAATCGAACGTGGAAGCGTGGTGACGTCACGCCCCTATTTCCGCTTCTTTTTCGATTGACCAATAGGGACAATAGAAATAATCAACATTGCCAAATTGTAGAGTTTACGGAGCCTATAATTATCAATTTAATTATGGAGGTGTATATGAACCCGTTAACGTTTCAATTAATGAAAAATTATCCACATGTGATTGGATATTAAAAACCAATACACTTGGCAACTCCGCTCTAGACATGATCAATTTTATTGGTCAACAGACACGCGACCAATTTAAATTCTTGCTTTTCGATTTGTGGCAGGTCAACAGAAAATCAATTCGTTGGTGACAATGAGGAAAGACTTTTTTTCTAAGACACAAGGGTTTAATATTGGACAAGAGTGATGAAATAAAGGAGGCTGTTTTCACATTTTAGAGTTTTTTTTTAAAGCAGGTTAAGGTCCTGTTATCTTAATTACTCCAAAACTAGTGTGGTTAATCAATGTTCACAGTATATCAACAATATTTGTATTGATTTACCTCTTTTTCCAAAAATAGGAATTTGCTCAACAATTATGATGATGTTTTCAACTTAGTGAGACCAACCATAATAATTACGGTTTATTTTTTTCTTGGCTTTGTTTTCATTGCTTATTTTACAATAATAGAAAAATCTGTTTTTTGTATACTCTTCATTTGTATATATTGTTTAGAAATACGCTTTGTGAAATAGGAATTATTTTTTTGAACACTGACAGAGTATGAAACAATGCTTTTGGGTCTTCAGGTCGTCATTTGTTGGGATTTTTTGCTGAAGTTTTGACGTCGGGAGTGACTGGAATCAGAGTTCTGTGTTATCACTTTTCCTGGCATAAAAACTAAAAATCAGTTTTGAAAGAAGGCCACAAAAGCCTAAATTTTCACGATAAAGGATAGTTTGTTGAATTAAGTTGACCGAATTCTTGATTAGAACGACTTGTGTTAGTAATCGTGTTCCAATGTCTGTCAGATATAATTCAATATCTGTTGTGGTATCTGTGAACCAACTAGTTGTTTTCTGGCAGACATTGGCCAAATAGAATAGCTGGGAGAAATAAACTTAGAATTTATTGAATTTTCCATTGAGAGATTTTCAAATTTTTATCAACATTCATTGTGATGTACTAAGTGAAATATTGGATTTAATTAGAACTGTAATTAAAATCCATTCTCATTACATTTCTCATGAGTTTTCCCTATTGATACTCTTGTTTCTAGGTCTCATAATTAATTCTTTAAGACAACGTTTGTGAATGAGAAAGTAAAACTTTTTTTTTACAATATTCTAATATCTATTTTCAGTAATTGTGTTCCATCTATTGTTAATATATTTATTTTACCTTGATATATGTTTTATTTTTGGGAAAGTTTCTGTTTTCTACTTCTCCAACTTTATACAAAAAAAATAAAATATGGAAAGCTTCCAAAGGATGTATGAAGGTGGAGAAAAGGTAGAAATCCGAAACGTTTTTTTCCCAAAAACTAATCTCACCTAAAAATATACACTTCTATATTTTATTTCTCAATGATGTTAACCTTTATGGGTCAGTAGTTTGTGGAGTATAAATGTACAACTTTGCTAACAGTTCATTACAACAGTTTTAGCCTTTCTGCATAACTTTCTGCAATCTAGTTATAAAATGTTGCATGGTTATTGAGGAGCCTGGTGTATTATTGGTATTCAAAGATTGAGTTCTCTGTTGTTCCAATAGATGGCGTATTTGTAGGGAGAGATGTCATTACCCTTACTCACTTAGGCTTGTCCTTTTAGGACAGTTGGGTCCAGCAATGCATGTCTGGCACCACTGATGAGACCTAAGGCGAGTTGAAACAACGCTGTCTGTGGCATTGAATCATAAATGCGTTGTGTTTGGATTCTGGTTTTCGACCAGTTGCCAAGCAGTGAAAGCTGCAGTGCATGATGGAGGTCGATGTCAAAGTTTGGCTTTGCACCTGACCGCCTTGGGGAGCCCCGTTTATCTTTGATATTCGAGGATATCTTTGATATTCGAGGATATCTTTGATATTCGAGGATTGAGTTGTTCAGTGTCGATCCCACAGATGGCGTTTTCTTGAGGGGAAATATCGTCATCAATTACGAGAGAAACATCGCTGTCTGACGTTAAATCATAAATGCCTTGTGTTGGGGCTCTAGTTAACAACCTGTACGTTTTTCTTTTTTCGCTGGTGACCCGTTCAACGTGACCAATGTTCTATTTAGCCGAATAAAAAAATAGATCTGCGAATGAGATTGCAAAATTTAAGATTACTCGTGAAATAAAATTTCGTTATTAATTTTGATTTATTTAATAAATTATAAAATTTGATAAGTGGACAAGGTATTTGATCAACAACATAATAAAAATTTTATTATAATAATGAAATGCACAATAAGTATGAGTATAGTCATATAAATGAAACAACATATATAAATAAGACGAATAAAACCACTTTCACTGGGAAAAATGGAAGATAAAAGTGATGTGACTGTGTTCCCCTCTTCTAATAAAATTATCTCAAATTTTATAGTCTCATTTAATATTGTAAAAACAATTCTGCCAAAAGATCAACGGTGAATTAATAAAGTTTCGGCAGATTTTTTAAAACGAAATCTATCACAGGATCGAGATGACTTGATTTAAGAGTACGGTTGTCAGAAGTAACTATTTCACTGCGATAACATGAATTCAACAATCAAAACAAAAATAAATATGTATCTACTACATCTGTCAATTTCCTTACTTTCTAAAAACTAAAACATCAACATAATAATATATATTAACAAACATGGATCCTAAAAGTTCACAAAAACATTATTCCAAGAGATTCAAGATATTTTTCATTCAAATTCATTTTCATAGGATAATGAAATTTTTCGTCTTTTTCTTAAGTAGCTCGTTATTTTTGAAATGTACTACTACAAAATGAAACAACTGAAAAAAATCATGCAGATTACTTTTCATCAATAAAAAATTTAAAGACTACAGGTTCGTAGACAACCATTTGGAAAACTGATAACCAGTAAAAACAAAATTTATTACTTTTAAGTAATCACCACATTTTCAGGAAATTACAAGTTGTTTAGGGCATCCCGTTACCCTGTATATCCTTGCGAAAATATTGCTGAGTAGAAACTTGTACTTGAGTCCAAGCATCATGGAGCTGAAAAAAAAAACATTTGATTTTATGACGAGTGACATAATTTGCCATTATGATAGATTTGAAGACACACTACCACTGCCAAGGATTTCGTTGTTACCCGTCAGTTGACAACAAAAGCTCAGTATTTTACAATGGCCTAAAAATATTCAAACACCTGCCATACTAAAAAGCCTCTCAGAATTTAGAAAAACAATCAAAGTTTTCCTTTCTGATAGACCTTAATATAGTTTGGAAGAATTTTATGATGATAACTTCCAGTAACACTTACTCTGAAATACATCTTACCCTAAGTTCAATGTTACAATCAAATTATAAGTTCCATTTAGCATCTGCAATAACTTACACCATTTTTTTCGTTTTGTATAATTCTCCTCTTGTTTTTTATATCACCATTTCTTATCACCACATTTTACACATGTGAAAATTTTCATTATTGCGGTAAACATCTTATGAGAGCATATTTTTGTGTGTGTTAAGAAAAAGG